CACTACCCTCTAAACCTATGTATATTTTGTGTCAATTCCAATTTTAAAAAATATGAATGACATTTTCTCCTTAATTCCTTGGCTTTAAATTTAGTCTTAGTATAAACTTTTAATCATACATATGTATAATGTATTTGGATACAATCATTTAATATGTGTTATTTCAGTTCTTAGTAGCAGCTGGGTGCCTTGTTTTCATGCTTTTAGCGGTAAAATGGAAATATGAAAAAGGTAAAATATTTTCCAAAACATGATACATAAATATATAGAAAAAAGTCGAAAAATAACTTTGGGGTATAGTCGTTCTAAAGGGACTTTAAGCGTAATTTTAAATAATCCTCAATGCAAAGATTAAAATGCCTGATTTACAACGTTACTATTGAAAACTTTGTCTGATAAAGTATGAATTAGATACCAATGTTTTTTTTTATAAGAAGCAATAAAGAAACTCACAGAAAGAATTACTTTTCGAGTCAGAAATACGACGGTATCTTCTACTTTTTTGATCAGGCAAAGGTTTCAACGGTACTGTTGTAAATCAGGCATGCTATCTTTGCATGAAGGGTAACTTGAATCTTATCTTAGAACTGAACTTTCAGTTTAGATAACGGTTTTTTTATTCCTCAATGAAGTTGACGTTTTCAAATTTTTATTGTGTTAATAGTTGACATATAAAATAATTATTTACTGCCTTAGCTGTTAAAAGTTGGAAAGTTTTTTTTTCTTGACGTTGAACTTCTATCTAATAAATGGTTTAAGGGTTTTATATTTAGAAAATAGAAAAAAAAACATTCAGAAACATCATACATTTTAACTATTTCCCGATTGAGCAATTTTTGTCTAAAATAGATGAGTGGGGTGTCCCCCCCCCCCCTTTAACAGCTAATAAGGAAACTATCAAGGAACAGGAGAAGAAACTAAAGGATACATTGAAGGAGAAACAGAAACTAGAGAAAAAAATTGAGAATATTCTAGCAAAGCTAGATCTGGGAGAGGGTGAAGAACAGGACATAACTGATTTTACTGAGAAGTTAGAGAAGCTGATGGCGGAAAATGAAGAGTTGGAGAATAAGTTAGAGGTAAGCTAAATAATAAAAGCTATATAGAGGTGCAATATCAAGTGACCTCTCATCTTAACCGATTCACAACGGTATCTCAAAGAAAGAAAATTAAGATTTATGCAGCACATACAGTCTACAGATGATGAAAGCTGAAAAAATTGGGATATTGCATATTTTGAAGTAAACCATCAATGAAAAAGTAACATGACATTTTTACAAGCCTCTTTGAAAACCTTTGCCTGAGAAATAGTTAATTTAATACGAATATCTAATAATTCACAGACTTTTTATATCTTTTAAAAAAATCAAAGTTTTATACAATCTCCACTAAAACCTGCTATTTCTTTGGTCAGTTTACAGACATGTTCTGCAGTACGTACCAAAAGCTTAGTTTAGGCTGAATGGTCCATGTTGTAAATCGTGTAAATAAATGTTCGAATGAAGGGCCATTTAAAAAAAGCGCTGACAGTCTTTTAGCTTTTCAATTTTCTTTGGTTGAGCTATATATACGGATCAAAAACAAGCAGAAACCGATCAAATTACTTATTTTTAGATGTATTTCCGCGATTTCTTCAAATTTTTCAGAAATCCCTCTAAATTCAGATTTCGAGGATCGAGTTTCCTCTTTTATTTGATCGATTTACTAAAATTGTATTTCCATTTCCGCTTTATCTTAATTAAATATTTTCGAGAGATTTCCCAATAGTTTTTGAGAGGATTCCCGATTCTTAATATTTTTGGTACGTTTCCTCATATTTTGGTTCCGTTTCCACTTTTTCAAAATCTTTTAAATTGATCTGTTTCCTCATATTTTTGATCGGATTCCTCAAATTTTAGGTCTGTTTCCTCATATTTTTTATCCGTTTCCTCTTTTTTACAAAAAAAAATGAGATCTAGATATGTTTTATTGAAAAGCATTAAGGTTGACATACAACTGATAATATCACTAAACAGTGCTTTGCAATTTTTTACAAGTTCATTATATAATATTACAATACTTTTTAATAATTTGAAATTGAAAATTCAATTTAAAATACATTTTACTTTCGTTCAATAAAATCATTTTGATGTTTTAATTTTGTCTTTATAACTTTATAGCTTTCTATTCCAAAGTTTTCTGATTATCACTGTACAAATAATGAAAAAAGACAAAATTCAACATTATTGAAGGGGATATTGCATATTTTGAAGTGAACCTTCAATGAAAAAGTAACATGCCCTTTTTACAAGCCTCCTTAAAAAACCTTTATCTGACCAAAAAATAATTTAATACTTGTTCTTATTATAACAACATTCACAGACTTAATATAACTTGATATAGTTTAATGCAATCTCTACTTAAACCTGCTTTTTCTTCGAACAGTGTACAGCAATTTACTACAGTACGTACCGAAAGCTTAGTTTAGGCTGAATGTTGTGAATCGTGTAATTAACTGTTTGAATGGACAGCCATTTTAAAAAACGTTAAAAATCCCTTAGTCTTTTAAGTTTCCTTTTGTTGAGCTTATACTAGTACTACGAATACAATTTTAAAAAACGTTAAAAGTCCCTTAGTCTTTTTAGTTTCCTTTTGTTGAGCTTATACTAGTACTACGAATACAATTTTTAAAAAACGTTAAAAGTCCCTTAGTCTTTTTAGTTTCCTTTTGTTGAGCTTATACTAGTACTACGAATACAATTTTAAAAAAACGTTAAAAGTCCCTTAGTCTTTTTAGTTTCCTTTTGTTGAGCTTATACTAGTACTAAGAATACAATTTTAAAAACACATTTTTCAATTTTTTTTATTCGCATTGCATTAAGGAAAACATCAGTAATGCTTGATAGGTTAAGTACAGAGGACTTTTTGATTAATTTCTCTCAGATGTTATGGGCAAATTACTAATAAATATTTGCGTGAGATCGTCCATATTTTATATCACAACGACACATGCAAATTCCAGTATATATATGCTATGCGTATAAGAAATATAATTGTATCTAATATCTGATTCAAACTTTTCTTTAATTTGACAACATTTGTTATATAAACTAAACAAAATGCATATTTTATTCTAGACCCATAGCTAGGTAGGGGGGGGGGGGCACATATGCGTGTGCCCCCCTTCAAAGTACTTTTGTTGACAGTACTTTTTTTAGATTCAGGCTGACAAGTACCAAGCAGAAAAACAAGAATTACAAGGCAAATTCCGAAAAGAAAAACAAGAACTACAAGACAAGTTCCAAGGAGAAAAACAAGAACTAACAGACAAGATTCAAGTTCAACTTCAGATGATTTCATCAATGGAATTGTACACTTACAACTGTTTACCAGGGGGAGGATAGTTCTCTACCTGAGTGCTTAGTTAGCTGTACTGTACACTTACAACTGTTTACCAGGGGGGAGGATAGTTCTCTACCTGTGTACTCAGTTAGCTGTACTGTACACTTACAACTGTTTACTAATATTGATATACTATAGGTTAGGCCAGAATCATCTTAAAATAAACAAATATGCAGTACGCTCTCGGTATAGCTGATGGCCTTTACAATTAGTAAAAGATTAGCGTACATCATCACTCTATACACTATAACCTCGTTGGTTTGAACTGATCAAAGTCATAATTTGAGTTTAAAAGTCGTCTTTCTATTCCAGAGTTTTCTGGTTATCACTGTACCCCTGCAGGGATAGGGTTATGAAAAAGTTAAAAGATTCAGGGAATTATAAATGCATGCAGGAAAGAAGGCTAATACAATTCCGTACATTAGTCTCTGACGACTGATCCTGTACAGTGTACATAAACGCTGCACATTTACTCTACCCTCACTTAGCTATATTTTTATTTAAAACCAATATATTACTTAATAATCCCACACATTTTTTTAACAATAAAGGAATTGAGTCTTTGCCACAAACTCTCACAAAAAATCTTTAGAATTCAATGTCGCAAATCCTTGATATTTCAAACTTACATTATTTGATATTACAGAATTCATAGTTTAAAATATCTAAGGTCTACGACATTGGAATCCAAAGATATAGGGTTTAGAAAAGTAAAGTTTGTGGCAAAGACTCAATTCCTTTGAGACAGAAAGACATGTAAACAAGTGTCTCAAAATCTAAGCTAAATGATGTTAAATCTTTATGAAACTATTTTTTACTTCTGAGCTTGTCTCATTTTTTAATATTTGTAATTTTTTGTTGACTTTCCTAGTCTGTCCTAGCCATAACATTACAGTAACGTTGTGTATTTTTACTTACGCAAAATTACGTGTAGTTACATAAAATTAATAAATTTTTGCTGAATTTTGAAGAATTACGCGCCAGTTTGACCTAATTTTGTGTAATAACTGCCGAATTTCGCTCAATAACGCACAATTACGCGTTATTGGAGGAATTTAATTTTTTTCAGATTCAACTGTAGCATATATATATAAACCTGTCAAATTGAAAACTGTGATTTAGCAGAATTCTTGGTTTGAAATGTTTACAACAGCAGGTTCCAAAGAAATATTTGAAATTTAGAGCTTGCATGGCAAGTAATCAATTCCTCTCTTTTTTGTCTTTGAACTTGAAAACTGATAACAAAAAATACTTTAGATTAGGGCTGGGCACGTTTAAGCATTTTTCAATCCGTTCGAACTTTACATACTTTAAAATATCATTTGTTTATATCTTTATGCAATTTGAAATATACAACGGAATTGAGTCTTTGTCGCAAACTCCGATTTTCTAATCCCTAAACCTTTTGGAACCCAATGTTGTAGACCCTTGACATTGTCCAGACCAATAATACTAATAATTTAATTGGAAATGCAGGAAGTAAAAGTGTCTAACCTGCAAAGCTCAGCATGTAAAGATCTGCTTCATATTTTTTTCATTTAGTTTAAAGCTTAAAACCGGTTCTTAAATTACAGAAATGTAATAAAGCATTTTATATTTTGACGTGACATATTAAACAGGTGGTCTGTTGCTTGAAGAAGGGAGAGGGATAGAAGAACAGATGAGATCAGACCGAGAAAAGATCACCAATTTGGAATCAGAAGGCAGGATGAAGGTATTTTGATGATGAAACAATCAGTATAATTTATTTCTCCTATTAACCCTATCTCTGCTAGGGTACTTGAAAACCAGGATATGCTGGGGGGGGGGTGGTCAATTTGACCCCCCCTCTAAATCCCATGTTTGATGTCCAAATATGACAAATGATACATTATTGGAAAGCTCTTGTGCTCTACTTTTAGAATCTGCAAAAAAATTTGGAAATTTTTCCAAAAAATGAAAAAATTATACATTTTTAAAAAGCCCTTGACCATGCCATTTCAAATATGTAAAAATTTTGGCAAAATTTGAAATAACCTGAATTTTAATCAAGAAAAACTAAAAATGTGCAAATTTCCTTTGACAGGTTGTATGCAAAGATTTTGCAATTTTTTTTTCGCAAAACTTGTGCAATTCGTTTCCTTAAGTCATAGGCTTTCCAAAAAGCTAAATTTTATCAAAATCTGACAAGTGGAAGTGGGTCAAAACAAAGATGTAGTTTGTTGCAGGAAAAATAGTTAAAATCTTCATCCAAGATTTACAGTGGATATTTAAAAAATCCCTAAAAAAAATAAAAACAACCTTTGCTTTTATTTTTAGGCATCCCATGGTACCATACAATTACTGGGAGTAGCATTAACATGTATTGTTATTCTGGGGTTAATCCTTGGACTTATTCTTACACCAAAATGGAGTGAATATCAAAACGGTAAGATTTTTCTGTTACATAAATAAAGAAAGAGTAACAAACAATTGTATAAAAAATAAAGATCATTGTTTGTATTTTTTTAATATTGATTTTCTAAGTAACAGAGGTGAAAATTGAAACAATGAAATGTCAATGGTTTATTTATATTTGAATAATTTTATGGTTAAATTTTATCTTTCCAATTTTAATATATTAGAAATAATAGAAGTAAGGAAAATCAATAATTTTTGAAAAAAAGAATCATTCAGGGTAAAAATCTTATCAGTTGATGTTCAATTTATCATCTTATTTCCCCCTCCCCTTCCATCTGAAAGAAAATAACAGTAAAAGAAGGTGAATTTCTGTGCAGTTTTTGCGCTGATTTTTTAGTGAATTTTTGCATGGAATTGCACACCGCTTGCACTAGCTAAAGGTTTGTGAAAGACCCAAGCACTTTTGCGAAAATATTTGCTTTAACTGGGAACCCTACATAATGTGCATATAAAATTAGTCCTAAATCATATAATTTTGTACTTATTAATTTATTTTCCAGGTCCTGATTACCAGGCCGAGTTGGGAAAACTGGAAGCTGCGGGAAGGACTAAAGACAATACAATCCAGGAACTGATGAAGAGGATAGAGGAGCTAGTGGAGGAACAGCAGCTGCAGGGACACTGTAAAATAGGAGACTGGACTGATTACAGTATGATTAAAGATCTAGAACAAGAGATAGAGGAGGGATTAACAGAGAGACTAGGATTGGAGAAGACTGTTACCATACTGAAGGTAGTAGAAGACACAAGATTAAGAGATAGAGGAGGGATTAACAGAGAGACTAGGATTGGAGCAGACTGTTACCATACTGAAGGTAGTAGATGACACAAGATTAAGAGATAGAGGAGGGATTAACAGAGAGACTNTTAAGGGATAAGCATGATTAATCGTAAATACCTAGTTTCAATTTTCTTTTAATGATAATACTTCACAAGTGAAAACATTGAATTTTAGGTTCTTTAAGTTTAAATGGACTGTATACATAATTTACAGTGACCCTCCATATATAGGGTGGAATATCTAATTCGCAGCACTACCCTCTAAACCTATGTATATTTTGTGTCAATTCCAATTTTAAAAAATATGAATGAAATTGTTAATTTTCTGTGACTCCCAGGAAAATGAATATTATTGTATTTGTAACAAGCTTAAGTCCTAAAGTACTCTGCGTTGCCCATGGCACTCCTAGTTACTTCCACCGTTTACCCGCACTTGGTTGAATTTTAGAATTTTAGAATCTCAGAAGTAAACCAAGAACATTCTCCTGTTCTCCTAAGTTCCCCAATCAAAATTTTGAGACAAATGGGTGAACGGGTTCTTGAGTTATGATCGGAAAAACAAACAGACAGACATAATAGAAAGTTTAATGTAGACGTTTTTACATTTTCTCCTTAATTCCTTGGCTTTAAATTTAGTCTTCGTATAAACTTTTAATCATACATATGTATAATGTATTTGGATACAATCATGTAATATCTGTTATTTCAGTTCTTAGTAGCAGCTGGGTGCCTTGTTTTCATGCTTTTAGCAGCAAAATGGAAATATGAAAAAGGTAAGATATTTCACAAAATATGATACATAAATATATAGAAAAAAGTCGAAAAATAACTTTGGGGTATAGTCGTTCTTACAGGGACTGTAAGCGTAATTTTAAATAATCCTTAATGCAAAGATTTACAACATTACTATTGAAAACTTTGTCTGATCAAGTATGAATTAGATATCAATGTTTTTGTTTATTTTTTTTTGTTTATAAGAAGCAATAAAGAAACTCACAGAAAGAATTACTTTTCGAGTCAGAAATACGACGGTATCTTCTACTTTTTTTTATCAGGCAAAGGTTTCAACGGTACTGTTGTAAATCAGGCATGCTATCTTTGCATGAAGGGTAACTTGAATCTTATCTTAGAACTGAACTTCCAGTATTTATTCCTCAATGAAGTTGACGTTTTCAAATTTTTATTGTGTTAATGGTTGACATATAAAATAATTATTTACTGCCTTAGCTGTTAAAAGTTGGAAAGTTTTTTTTCTTGACGTTGAACTTCTATCTAATAAATGGTTTAAGGGTTTTATATTTAGAAAATAGAAAAAAAACATTCAGAAACATCATACATTTTAACTATTTCCCGATTGAGCAATTTTTGTCTAAAATAGATGAGTGGGGTGTCCCCCCCCCCCCTTCCCTTAGAGTTGAGATAGGGAAGTGTGATTCATATTCCTAGTCCAACTTTTCAGTGACACCTCATTAAGAAAACCTCTTTAGACCTCTAACGTTAATGGTGAAGGTGCTAGGAGGTTTAAAAAAAAAAAAAGTACATCGGAAAAATGTTGACACATATTTTTATTATTTTTGACAAGTATTGACATGCGACACATGATGTTACATTAATTATTCAAGTCAAAGGTTTCAACGGTACTGTTGTGAATCAGGCATGCTATCTTTGCATGAAGGGTAACTTGAATCTTATCTTAGAACTGAACTTTTAGATAACGGTTTTTTTATTTCTCAATCAAGTTGACGTTTTCAATTTTTTATTGCGTTAATGGTAGACATACCAAATATTTATAAACTGCCTTAGCTGTTAAAAATTGGTAAATTTGTTTTTTTGAAGTTGAACTTCTATCTAATAAATGGTTTAAGGGTTTTATATTTAGAAAATAGAAAAAACAACATTCAGAAATATCTTTACATATAATAAAAACATGATTTGTTCATGTCTTTCATCCAATTCAAACCATACATTTTAACTATTTTTTTGTCTAATATAGATGAGTGGGGTGTCCCCCTCTTCCCTTAGAGTTGAGATAGGGAAGTGTGATTCATATTACTAGTCCAACTTTTCAGTGACAACTCATTAAGAAAACCTCTAGACCTCTAACGTTAATGGTAAGGGTTCTAGGAGGGTTTAAAAAAAAGTACATCGGAAAAATGTTGACACATATTTATATTACATTTGACAAGTATTGACATGTGACACATGATGTTACATCAATTTTTCAAGGGCTTTTCAAATAAATCTTAGATCTATGTATCTATAGCTTAATCATAAAAAATGTAAAGGCTATTTTTGACATTTTTGAAACACCAAGCAGCCGTTTGAACGTCCTCCATTCTACCATGTGCAAAAAAAAAGGTTGTTTTCTAAATTATTTCACAATTATGTGGTCGAAAAAAGGAAAAAGTTTGAGCGTTCAGTGTAAGCTGTTTTCCATTTGTGGAGAAATAAATCAAATGGGTCCTGGATAGGGTTAAGCAAATAAAAATATAATTTGTTTAGATAAGCTTGATGCTAGATCGGAAGAGGTGTGGCTTATACAAGAAGAGCTAGGAGAGATTGAAGAACAGTTGCACAAGGAAATTACTGATAAAATAGAGAAACTGAAAATGGAGACTGTAGACAACAGGGAGAAGATTAAAATACTTGAAGCAGAAGGAACAGCTAATAAGGAAACTATCAAGGAACATGAGAAGAAACTAAAGGACAACAGGGAGAAGATTAAAATACTTGAAGCAGGAGAAACAGCTAATAAGGAAACTATCAAGGAACAGGAGAAGAAACTAAAGGACAACAGGGAGAAGATTAAAATACTTGAAGCAGAAGGAACAGCTAATAAGGAAACTATCAAGGAACAGGAGAAGAAACTAAAGGATAATATAACTGATTTTACTGAGAAGTTAGAGAAGCTGATGGTGGAAAATGAAGATTTGAAGAATAAGTTAGAGGTAAGCTAAATAATAAAAGCTATATAGAGGTGCAATATCAAGTGACCTCTCATCTTAACCGATTCACAACGGTATCTAGAATAAAGAAAATTAAGATTTATTCAGCACAGACAGTCTACAGATGATGAAAACTGACAAAATTTATCATTATTAAAGGGGATATCGCATATTTTAAATCAATGAAAAAGTAACATGACCTTTTTACAAGCCTCTTTGAAAACCTTTGCCTGACCAATAGATAATTTAATACTTGTTTTTATCTAAAAAATGTAAATTTTGAAACGCTACTTGCGAAGGCAAGGAAAAACATTCACAGACTTAATATAAATTGATATAGTTTAATGCAATCTCTACTTAAACCTGCTTTTTCTTCGAACAGTGTACAGCAATTTACTACAGTACGTACCGCAAGCTTAGTTTAGGCTGAATGTTGTGAATAGTGTCAATAACTGCTTGAATGGACAGCCATTTTAAAAAACGTTAAAAGTCCCTTAGTCTTTTTAGTTTCCTTTTGTTGAGCTTATACTAGTACTACGAATACAATTTTAAAAACACATTTTTCAATTTTTTTTATTTCTTCGCTTTGCATTAAGGAAAACATCAGTAATGCTTGATAGGTTAAGTACAGAGGACTTTTTGATTAATTTCTCTTAGATGTCATGGGCAAATTACTAATAAATATTTGCGTGAGATCGTCCATATTTTATATCACAACGACACATGCAAATTACAGTATACATATGCTATGCGTTTAAGAAATATAATTGTATCTAATATCTGATTCAAACTTTTCTTTAATTTGACAACATTTGTTATATATAAACAAACCAAAACACATATTTTATTCTAGACCCGTAGCTAGGGCGTTTTAAAAGTTTCTACAGTGAGACCCTTAATAAAAAATACATCGGAAGAATTTATCAAATGTCGTCTTGACAATTTTTCAATGAGTTTTATACTATATTACGTAAATTTCAGTATTTGCGAAAATAAATAAATATCCATAAATATGCAGGAACAGTTTTAAAGAGTTCCATATAATCATTTAATTAAAATACTAAATATTTGCAACATTCAAATATCAGCAAGGGAAGAATACGACGTTTGTTGAATTCTTTCGATGTATTTGTTATTAAGGGTTTCACTGTAACAGTCCAACGCCCCCCACATACCTCCATTACCTCACAAATCACTAAAACTTCTCACTGTCTTAAATTCAAATTAGCATTTTAACCTTTAAGTTTAAACACAAGGATAACCATAGAAAAAAGCAAGTATCAAAACTATTTTAGCAATAGATTATAGTTATGTTCCACTTCTTAAACTCATTTCTTATAAAATAATATATATGTCATATATCAGGAAGAGTAAAAGAAAAGGTGTGTGAGTTTTTCAAAATATTTGTTTACATACACTGATACTTTAGTATATCTTCATAACAAATTGTTGACAGTACTTTTTTCAGAATCAGGCTGACAAGTTCCAAGAAGAAAAACAAGAACTACAAAATAAGCAACAAGGAGAAAAACAAGAACTACAAGACAAGTTCCAAGGAGAAAAACAAGAACTAACAGACAAGATTCAAGTTCAACTTCAGATGATTTCATCAATGGAAGGAAAGCACAACGAGTTTATCAAGAAAACAGAAGAAACTTTAGGCTTAACCAGAACACTTCTCAAAAGTATGGAGTTCAAAGTTATGGATCCTGTTTGTCCTGCATATTATACAGGTTCTAATTATACATATTGTGGGAAGAAGATCAGACTAGAGGAGATGTCCCAGCACCTTGTTAGTTGTGAACATTTACAGTATTTACAGTCCAGAAGAAATATGATCCTTAACACGGAATATGAGCACTGGTGGTTTAGACCTTCAAACTTCAAGATATCTAATAAACCTCTAGTATACAAGCTGAAGGAGTCCCAGCACTTCTTTATACTACAGGGACGGTCTACTGACACCAGTTTAATCTTTTATATAATTCAACATAACGAAGAAAATATATCTGAACATCAATATATTGCTCGCCTGGAAGTGTACGGAGAAACTAAGAATATTATAAGATCACAAACTGTAAGAGTATGTCCAAGTGGGATAAATCTTGAGAATGCTAGAAACCAGTTGTACACCCTGGATATCAGCCAGGAAGAATTGGAGATAATGTCTGTAAGGAAGATACCAACAGATGATGTATCTAAGAAGTACAATATGTGTGTAAAGTTTAAAGTCATGATAATCTAGTTAACCCAGGACAACACTTGAACCGACCAATAAAATCTTATGGAAGAATTATCCTTGATGGAAATATGGTTATTCATAAATATGATCATACTTTAGATTTTGGATATGCTAATTGCTAGAATTTGATATCTATAAAGTAACATTTTAAAATATTTGATTAAGAATTAAATCTATAATTAAGCAAAGGATTTCAATCTTTGCAACAAACTCAAATGTTCTAATCCCTATATCTTTGCAACCTGATTATATAAACCTTTGATATTTTATATTGTTATAATGTCGTCTTCCTATTTAATTGTTTTCTGGTTTACACTGTCAAAATAAATTTCAAACCAATTATTTTGTTTACCGCATGTACACAACTATGTACACTAACTGTATGATGTACACTGTAAAGTAAAGCGGAGTTATTGTCATCTTCGTTCTTTCTTTTTCTCTTTTAGAATTAAGTAATTTTTAACGTTTCTATCTAATTTACAATTTTACAAAAATATCGAATATATAAATAAAATTACTGAGTACTTGGAACCATTTTATTCAAAACTCATACAGGGTCATCCAAAAAGGATGAGACTATAGAGACTACACCATAAGGTATACAATTTAAAGACTTCAGAGACTACACCATAAGGTATACAATTTAAAGACNCCCCCCTCATCTATAACTGACAAAAATAGCCCAATCAGCATTGGGTTAATGGATAAGGTTAATGGTAAAGAAACTTAGAGCATAATTTCAAGCAAGGCATAACTTCAAGTGACACTCTAAAGATGGCAATGTCTGATTCACAACAATACGCTTAAAAAAGTTATTCTGTTCATTTATTGACATCTCTTTACAGGTTTGAAAGGCTTAATTCTGAAAATTCACATATGTTTTACTGCATTAGAAATGCGCAAGTCACTTGAATTTGAAAATTAATAGTTTTCAAAATGTTAATTTTTTTCTCATTAATACTTGATCAGGCAATTAGTTTTACCATTGTGTATCGTTGCATGTGATTTAGGGTTGTTAATCGTTTTTGAAAACGATCGTTAAACGATCGTTTTTTGTTTCGTTTTTCAATCGTTTTCAAAAACGATCGTTTCGTTTTTGGGAAAAAACGATCGTTTTTAAAAACGACCCACTCGTTTTGAACTTTTAAAAAACAAATAACGATGGTTTTTGAAAACGATCGATTTTTTAAAAACGATTTGCGACCGTTTTTTATACGATTGTTTTTTATAAACGATTGGTTCTAAAAAAATGATCGTTTTTGAAAAAAAATTTTATTGACAATTATGTTGACGATCGTTAACGAAGTGTCGTCGTTAACGATCGATAACGAATCGACAAACTTTTTACAAACGGTCGTTTTAGGAAAAACGATCGTTTTTGAAAAAAAATTACATGCAACTTTTGTGAATGTCGTCCTACCTGAAGTTAAAAAGTTGTGGGGGAGCTAAAACTTCTTGATATTTTCTTAAAAACTACTCAATGATAAGTACAGATGCCCTTCAGGTCGGTTTCCTCTCTTAGTTAACGATCGTTAACGAAACTACGATTTTTATAAAAACGACCATTTTTAAAAAACGAACTTAAAAAACGATCGTTTTTAAAACGATCGTTTAGTTTTCGATTTTTCGTCGTCGTTTTCTTAACGAAACGATTGTTTAAAAAAAAATGGAAACGTTAACATCCCTACATGTGAAGTCACTTGAACTAGCCGTTACAGTCTCTTCACAAGACTATTCACCATATGCAATATACATACCTATATTCACTTGAACTAGCCGTTACAGTCACTTTACAAGACTATTCAGTATTCACCATATGCAATATACATGTTTATATTCACTTGAACTAGCCGTTACAGTCACTTTAAAAGACTTTTCACCATATGCAATATTCATTTCTATATTCACTTGAACTAGCCGTTTCAGTCACTTTACAAGACTATATTCACCATATGCAATATACATGTCTATATTCACTTGAACTAGCCGTTACAGTCTCTTTACAAGAATATTCACCATATGCAATATTCATGTCTATATTCACTTGAACTAGCTGTTACAGAATCTTTACAAGAATATTCACCATATGCAATATACATGTCTATATTATTTGTTAATGAGTTCGAAATTAGTTGAACGAGGTTTATCTGATAAACTTCTGTGGTTTATCAGGACAATAAAAGTAGTTTATCAAGGACCAAAACTTTTAAATGTTAAATCTGTTCAAAACACGCATTATATTCTATTGGTGGATTTTCCTCATTTTCACAGAATTAAATCTAAAATTTTACACTGTAAATATTGAGTACAGTCGTTGTTGTAGCTAAGCGCAATCCCAAAGTGTTAGCCTCGATTTGAACTACTTCTATCTCATTCCCAAAATCCCAACTCTATTCTATACCTGACGGAAAAATTTTTTTTTCTTGGATGATCCTCGGTGTAAACCTCATTTTCCAGTTGATCTTCAAACTGTAGCGCAGGTGGGGGTTTACTTGGTCCAAAGAGGGGGAAGTTTGGGACTTCTGGGAAGTTTGGGACTTCTAAGACCTTTGAGTTTGTCAGGACATTTGAGGAAGGTGAGCCCTCAAATACTATTAATTCAAAAGAATATTTGAATTTCAAATATTTCTAATATAAAAATCTCAAAATATAATCAAATTGCGCGTTTCTATAAAATAAAAAAGTTAGCATGACTTACTTACATTGTGAAATACAAATTAGATTATTATTGTAAATGGTGGCACTGAACCAGCAAGTTGCACAGATACATAAAATAGACGTCAAACTGGATTTTGGTATTATGTCTCTTCTTTACAATTAACTTTACAAAAATCTAAATCGTTAAAACGTTTCTCTTCCGAACTTCCTTTTAAAAAATGAAGAACTTTAACTAGAACTACAGGGGCGTAAATAAGGATTCTGTAGGGGGGGGGGTAAATTTTTTTTACCCCCCCCCCTAGAAAAATATCATGATGTATATCAAATTATTGGTTTTAGTTGGGTTTGATTTGAATTTTCCACACATTTCTGGCATTTACAAACTCCGTCAAATAAAGGCTTCATTTCCTACCTCTCAGCTTTCACCTTGTTTTATATCCTTCATTATAGTCATTCATTTTACATTAACTACAAAGATCTGTAAAAAAACTGAATTTATTTTAAGTAACATAAAAAAGTTTCCCTCTAAGATTCTGGGGGGGTAATTACCCCAAGGATTAACTAAGGGAGGGTGGAAGTAACCCCAATAACCCCCTTATTTACGCCACTGTAGAACTACTTATAGTGCTCGGCGTTGCCCGTGGAATCCTCAAAACACGTTGGAAAATATTCTAAATTTTTTATTTTATGTTACTGTTACCCCAGGATGACCGCCAATGGATTTTCTTTAAAAATATTAGACAATTTGGTCCAGCCGTTTGGCCAGCTAAAGCGAACATATAAATATGAGAAAACAGGTTTATTATATAGATTACCAAATCATGGATAAATATTTAAGGTAGAACTTTCTTGCTTAACTCATCTTCTAAAACAAAAAATTATGATTATTCTTAAACTCTAAATTGTTTAGTAACATGTTACATAATACAATTATAGTTAACCTTGGTTTTTACCCTGGTTCTCTGGAAATCTGATTCTTTTTATTAAAATATTATTTTCAGCTTTGGTCTCATTTCTTCTTTTAACGCTTTTCATAAAAGTTTCCGCAGATTTTTCAGCGTTTTTTATTTCCCACATTTTTAGGACATGTTCTTTGTGTTTTCTTTTTAAATACAAATCTTGGGATTCTGACTCCATTGCTATCAAATCATAGGGATTCTCCTGTTCCAGGAAAGATGTTGAATCATCCTTAGAATCTTTTCCAGGTGTAGTATCCTTGATAGTATCTTCTACAACTATAGGAGCTTCAATGATCTCCCCCAGCTCAATCGGATTTTCCAGGTGTAGTATCCTTGATAGTATCTTCTACAACTATAGGAGCTTCAATGATCTCCCCCAGCTCAATCGGATTTTCCAGGTGTATTATCCTTGATAATATCTTCTACAACTAGAGGAGCTTCAATGATCTCCCCCCAGCTCAATCGAATTTTCCAAAGTCTCAGAAGGTTTTAAATCATCCTGTATTGAGGTATCCTCATTCCATTCCATTCCAAAAAAAATCGTAAAACACTTTATTTATTTTAATATTCAAAATATATAGTCCAACAAAAAAGTAAAAAAATAGCAAATATGAAAAAATTTCTTTTAATCGGTGAATATGTGTTCTAAAGTTAAGACACTCTGACTTTAAAGGAATTGAGTCCTTGAAACAAACTCTGATTTTCTAATCCCTATAATGTTGCAACCCAATGTCGTAGACCTTATTTCACACTATGAGTTATGTTAAATCAAATAATTTAAGTTTAAAATATCAACAATTTGCACAATCAGGTTAATGAGATTAAGGGATTAGAAGATTTGGTTTTGTGGAAAACACTCAATTCCTTTGCCGTAAATTCATTTGGTTTGGCGTTTAAAAATCTCTTTAAAACTATAGGATTTAATAAGATTTTTACTTTTTTCTTGTTCTGTTCTGTCTATGCAACCTAATTGTGTAAAACTTTAATATTTGAAACTTAGATTAATTGATCCAACAGTAGTTTAAATATCTAAGGCCTCCGACATTGGGTTGCAAAGAAATAGGGATTAGATAATCAGAGTTTGTGGTAAAGACTCAATTCCTAGTTTTACTTTATCATTCTGCTTCTACAGGGTTACTCACAAAAGATGAGACTATTAAGACGATCTTGATATGATGATTCAATGGTTCAATGAAGCATTGCATAGTCTTTTTATGGCTTAAAAAATCAATTGACATAGAATCCATTAAAAGAAACCAATCTGTAGGGTTAGGTTAGGTTAAGACAATTTATGGGCAGAGTGCTGCGGCTGACAGGCTAGTTGGCCGAGCGCTTTGGCCACATCATCAAATTGACAAAGGGATAGCCGATCTGTTGGGTTGGGTTAAAACAATTTCTGGGTCTCGAGCGCTGCGGCCACAGCTATCAAATTGATAAAGTAAGTATCGTAAGAAGGATGTAACGCTGGGCGGATGTAATAC